GCTTTGTTGTCCGAGAACAGGTTCGCGCCAAAGGAGTATGACCGAAACTTGCCGAAACCCTGAAAGAACCCATAACTTGGGGCATGATGAAGTCCAAGAAAACACGGCTTCAGAAGCCAAGGACCCTGCTTGTGCAGATCTACTACCTGTGTGCTCAGATGTTCCCGGCGAGTCATGCAGGCCTTACTTCGGGGTCTAGGGTTGGGCTGTGTGGCTAATTACCTAAACTGATGCATTCAACTATTACTTCCAAACTTGGCACCCCGAGCGAAACATTCAAGAAGTTGCAGATGGTGGCAGACCTATAGCACTGCTTCGACCTGCCTGGCGCTAGAGGAGCCGGCCTACTTTCAGCTTAGCCAGACGAAATCGCAACGAAAGGTCCGAATACGAAACTGGCACACGGAACGTCTTCAACGGTTTTGCATCCCGAGCTGCACTCCAGAACCTGGGCTCTGCGTTCGGGAGCCCCGCAAACTGTTCCTTGCGACATGGACTCGAAGAGTGGGGCTATCCCCTCCCCTGGACCTGGAAGTGCGCAGGAGCTTGGATTGGCGCGGCCTGAATCATCTGCTTCAGGCCAAACCTCTGCATCTAGCGCCCAATCCGGCAGAAATCAGTTCATCAGAAATGCTACTTTTCAGCACCAAGACTGGCCAGGGAATGAGATTCTAATAGGGGACCCTACACCTCACTTTAACACTGATTGGCTCTGCCATTTCATCAATTTACACGATGATGAGGAAGAAGATGCCTTGGAATTGCAGGCCGATCTGCTACGAAATCTGATCCGTAAGAGTATGACATCGCTTTTTCTTGCGCCTTCCAAGATTCTGACCACTTTCATGATACGCTGACATCTGCCGAGATCCCCCAATTCTGAATCGTGGGGGTGCTTGAAAATTGCCGAAGGCATTTTCGGACGTCCCCGCCCGCTTTACCAAGCCATCCGAGTGATCAGGGTTTATGGCGGCGGCACCTGGCCACTTCATGCTGTGATACCCATCGCAACGTCACCCTCAGACGTGCTTTCCAGCAATCTGACGGCACGCTGCGTGAAGATCTTGCATCACACAATTGATGGCTTGAGGCTTCGAGATTTGGCGGTTCAAGACGTGTTTCTCACGTGCTGGAGGGAGTCTGCACACGAAACAAACGAGTGTGGAAAGCTGCCTTTCGTGCTGTCGATACTCGTGTTCTACCCTTCACCGAACTGTTCAAAGGGCTTTGCACTAAAGGTGGGCCCCTCGAGCATCTCGAGCGCTTGGCAGGCTTCCGTATCAAGCTTGCCTCAACACCCCAGTTTCCCTAGATGTGATTTGGTCCGCGGTTCAGACTTTGGTGGAGGACTGGAATGCCAGTAGCTTTGTGCCTGAGTTTCCAAGACGAGCTGGTCAGTGACGGAAAGGGAAGAAGCTTGGCTTCTGGTTCTGTGGCGTTGCAAGACGTGGCACAGTTTGAGTCCTTGCCAGCACAAGTTTGCTTCGCAACATGTCCCTTGAACAACTTTATGAAGCTGGCAAAGTCTCCGCCTAAGTATTTCCCTCGCCTTGGGAGATGACTGACTGGCTCGCTGGCTCCACAAGCTCGGCACAACCGACGGAGAGCATCGGCGGAGGCAGAAAAGGTCGCATCCACTTGGCACTCCGCCACAGACGTGAAGGAATCAATTATCGGAGCGCATGTTTGGGACTACATGACCGCATCCTGCAGCTAGGTCTTGGCGTCCACTCGCGTGCGAGCGAGAGGTCCAGACAAAGCCTTGTTCGAAGCGCACGCTTCCGTCTTATGTTTACTGAGTCTGGGAGCGATGCACTCACGCCCAGCTGCCCATGGGGCAAGGGTTGCAAAAGGGTTCTCAGGGATACAGCTGGAAGAGTCAGGAGCTTTCGAAGCTTCGCTCGCACGTCGCTGACTGGAGTGCTGAAAGCTCAATCGGCCAGGCACGTACGTCTTTGTGAGAAGAGAACTGACTTGGCATGACTTCTTCCGCGCAGGATTGCTGGAAAGATGTCTCACAGATTCCAATAGCTGGGCGAGGAGCACGAATACGCGGGCGTTGAAGCTCCATAGGCCGGCAGTATCTACTTTACAAACAGGGTGGAGGGGATGTCGAGCCCATTTCTTCGGAGAGGTTCCGACCATAAACATGCCCACGACATTGGCTTCAAGTCAGGATTGCTCTGAGTCCGGATCGCGGTCTTAGTCATTCTGGTGTCTGCCAGCCTCCATCATCTCCGGACACGGGCGTGCTGCTTCGGACAAGCTTTGCCAACAGTCCTCCCCTGCGCACAACTTCATTAGCATGTCCCGCTGCCACCCAACGGCGTATAGCGAAGTCCCCTTTCAAACTTGGAGCAAGCTGGGCTACTTGCTCCACAAACTCGGAACAGAGAGCAGGGCGGGGGTCAGAAAAGGAAGATTCCGCTTCGCACTCCGCCACAGACAGGAAGGCATTAATTGTAGGATCGCATACGTGGGTCCACGTCCTGCAGCTGCTTCGTGCACAGCAAAACGTGCACAGCCCCTGGCGAACCTTTGCCGGACACGGAAAACGATAGGATTGAAGGAGAACATGTCTCACAGTACTCAGGGGCAGCATTTGGCTCCCTACCGCAGCGAAGTCAGTCGTTGTAAGCAACGTGACAGCAACATGTCCCGGCGCCACCCAGTCGCTCCTGCCGACAGCAGCATCCTCGTCTTAGTGCCTTTGCAACTGCCGCAAACCGGTTTCGAAATGGTTAACTGGCTCGCTTGCTCCACAAGCTCGGCACATCGGACAGGGAGTAGCGGCGGAGGCAGAAAAGGTCGAATCCACTTTTCACTCCGCCACAGACGCGAAGGCAGAAAGTGTGGGATCTGATGTTCAGGCCAACATCCTGCAGCTGCTTCGTGTACAGCAAGACCCGCACCCCCGCGGCTAAACTTTACCGGACACGGAAACCGGGAACTTTGCACAACCTTCATGCGCACCTTCATACTACGTGACTAAGCCTGAGGGGAGCTTACCCGCAAACCCAGTCGTAACCAAAGAGATGACACCATTTGAATTCCGACATCGGACCTGCAAAGGCCCTGAACAACTTCAGAGCTTCGGAGGCCGCGAAAATTGAACATGGTTCTTTGTAAGTACGGGGTCTAGTTAGGGCACTTCTGGAGTGTATACTTGGAGGGCGACAGGTTTCTGCAAGAGCTTTTTGTGTCTGATGACAAACTATGGGAAGTTTTTCGCGCACACCACCTGAACCAGCTGACGCCAGCGTGGCCGTGAGAGCACAGCGCTCATTGCCCAGTGCACTCCAAAACCCGGTTGACACTCGCATTGTCGCTGCCACAGCCATCATTGACGAACAAGACACGAAAGCATGCACCACAGCAGCAAGCAGGGCGCTTCGTCACGTTCAGAGTTTGGTCGACAACAGGGCAACCAACTATGCACACCAGACCTGCGCCTCACTGGTCTTGGTGAGTAGCTACCCTCGAGTGCAGAGACGGTTCCGACGAGCCTAAAAAGGACAAGCATCGTAAACGATCAAGCAAATTATTACAGACCTCAGTAGGCACACTCTTTCTTTCTACCTAGCTAACTGCCATGGCGGGTGCATAGTGCGGTGCTTTCAGAACCATTCTTCCCTGTTTCAGGACTGAGGTTTCCGCATGGCCATGTGCTTCAGTCTTACTGACACGGACATGTTCGATTGGCCGCTGCGCGAGTAACAACAAAGGCATGGCGCACATGCTACGCTACGTTCATCGGGCATCTTCTTTGGAAGGCATGCAAGGTTTTCTTCGTCTGCCTTCTCCCTGAACCTTTTTCGCCTGGCAGTGCCGCCATAGGCCTAGCCGTGGTGCTTGTCGTGTTGTAGGTTCCGTTTGTTAGGGGTAGAATCTGCTTCAAAGTGTATCGCCCAGTGACGAACGGCCCTCCCTCAACAGGACCTTCAGAACAACCCTTATGTGAGAGAACATGCGCTGGAAGCCTGCGCGCGGGATTGCTTGAAAATGGAGACTGCAGTTTAGAGATTCTCAGGTGGCGCGCGTGACTGGACAGTTAGCTCTCCCACTCATCTGTGCCCTCGCACTCTTTTTGAAGCGGCATGAATCTCAGAAAACTCACTGCACGTCCCAGCGCATGCTGGCTGAACAAGTGAAGCGCAGATCATCGCTCATCAAAGGCTCACTTCGGGTAGCCACAAGCGATGTTGCCGTGCCCACCATCCCAAGTTGTAGACTCCCAAGTCGAAGTTAACCAGGGTCTGGGGGGGAGGGAAGTCAGAAAGATGGTATGATCATGTACTGAGAGAGCGCAGCACGAACCAGCCGATGACAAAGTGGATGAGGATAGGGCTGAGCAACCTGCGTCAAGTTACGACCATGTGAATCTTTGCCAGCGAGTACAAGGTGTGTACGACCTGAGCGACTGCAAACCCCGGGGTCTCCTTGACAGAGTCTGGAGAGGCCTGCAGCATCATCCTCAGCAACATTGCCTAACAAGAAACGAGTCCGCTTTCTCCATTTAGTTCCCCACTGGCAGTGATCAGAAATCACCACTTGAACATGAGGCATGCCTTGCAGTCGACGAAGTTCTGGCAAGAGCCACGCCTTGCTGGCATGAGGATGCTCAAAGATCCAGGGCAAACTATGAGAGTCAAAAGCTTTGATAAGCGAAAAGGCAGATCGCATGCACTTGTTGCCCACAGCCACCTTTTCTTGATCGCCTGCTGTGAGTCCCGGCAACCCCCAAGGAAAGTCCTCGGTGCGGATAATCCCGGCTCTGTCACGGGCAGTACTGGAAGAGAAGCAAGGTGGGGCAATCATGCCACCGAGGACAACACCCTTATCGATGTCAAGCATGATTTTTGAAAGCACGCGCTTGTTGGTGAGATCATGATTGGCACCCCAATCTAACTCCCATGATCGTGTCTGAAAGCCCAGCCGATTGGCAGCACGTCCGATTCTTCCGCTGCCAGCGAAGAGATCTGCAAAGTAAGAACTCTTCTTCACCGGCCAGGGAGAGGGATCACCGGATAGCTTTGGCCGAGCATAATCGCCTCGATGTATCGCTCGGCCGACCTGCATGCCAGCTGCACTTCCACATCCAGCTTCTGCCAAGTGGCCGCCAATCTTCCCGCTTTCTCGTAGCGAGACACGCTTTGCCTGCTCATCCAATTTCCTCTTTTGCGAACCTCCTCCTGGGTCCTCACGTTCTTTGCCCTGTCGATCGACGGGCCGGAATGCCTTGCCTGGTAGGGCACGATCTCCAGCTGGAGATCCCGACACGCTTCCCGGAACACCTTCAAGTAGCTCGGATAGTCGAATTTGAGCACGAAGTCCATCTTGTCCCCCCGAGCCAACTCCTCGAACAGTGGATTGGCAAAGACCAACCACTGACTGTCGATGAGCACCGAGTCGTCTTTCGAGCCCGTCTTGGAGATGTCCGAAGTTTCTGCCAAACTGGTGACCACTGACCAGAAGCTCGTCACGCCTCTTGTCGGTCTCACAAGTCCCAGCTTCCGCAACTTCAGTAGAGCGCCAGGTCGGTGGTAAGTCGAGACCTGGAGGAGGTTGAACAAGGCCTTTGAAACGTGACCACGGGCCACCATCCTCCAGCTGATGCCGCACCACACTGCAAGGGGATAGGCAAGCCTCGAGCGAGATGGGCACAGCTTTCTCCAGCCTTGGAGACATCTCCACGCCCGAGGCACTTTCCGTCCCCCTAGCCGCCCGAACTGAGGAAGCTTGTCCATCAGCGCGGCCATCGTGTAGTCTCCACATGAGCTTCCCTCGCCTTCCTTGAACTTCTCGTTGAAGTAGCTCACCAGGACCTGGTTCACCTGCTCGTCCGTCTCGAAGTCCAGCTTGTTCTCCTTCACAAAGCTTTGAAGTTGACGGAGACGCGTGGTGTAGGCTTGCCGCACCTTGGTTGACACAGCCGCGTCCTCCAGCAAGCTGTGACTCCCCGTTCCGTCCCCCATCCGAGAGTCGACGAGCTGTTGCAAACCTCGCTTGGGCCTGCTTCTCAAGGAACGACCTTTCTCTCCTTTTCTGTCGGCCTTGAACTCGGACGAAGTGCTCTCGCTGTCGTCGTACCCCTCCGGCGCCTTCAACTTTGTAGATGGCATCCTGAGGAGCTGGGTCTCGGTTTCCGGAAGTATCGTCGCCTCCACGGGTTTCTCCGTCAACCGCGCCACGAGCCCATCTCCCAGAAGCCGACGGGTCTTTCCCCCACTCTTGGGGGCCCCACTCTTGTCGTCGTCCGGGCAACCTCCCAGGCTTCTCTTTCGGCTCGCTGTGTCTTTCACTGCCGGAGGCTCTAGCGTCCCTTTCGGCCTCTCCAGCGTACGTGTCCGTCTGGGCCCCATGCTTCCCGCATTCTGCGAACCTTGTCGTGAAGGCCCTTGGCTCATAAGCCCCAGCAACGAACTCCTCTGCCCATGAGTCGCCGAGAAGATCTACTAATAGCTTTGACTCCTTAGCACCCTCAGCAAGACGTGACCCTTCGTCAGCGATATTGAGCTCCGAAGGAATCCACCTAACGGCCACCCGCACATTTCTTGCAAAACAATAGGCCCCAAACTGCCGAAGAATCCTCAACACCTTGTAGTTTCTGGAACGGCAGCGTTCAAAAGTGAGCACAGCGGCAAGGTTGTCACAAAGAGCAAGTTGTCGAACATCATGGCCATACCGAGTCATCAATGCTCTACGAATGCCTTTCATGACTGCACGAGCCTCGAGTACCAGGATATCCTCCTTGAACTCCCATCTGCCACGCATGGTTGGCTGCCACAATCTGCGTGCCAATCCAGCGGATGGTACTTCCCTGAAATTCAAGTCAGTCTCCCATCCCGCCTCCACCAGAGCAGCTTCGCATGCCTCGCCATGTGGTGACGTCCACCTGCCAAGCGTATCAGTAACAAACCCTGCTGCCTGGAGCGCGCTCTCTCTGGCTGAATGTGACGACACCCGCTTAAAACGAGATCTCTCTGTCTGCCTGCCACATTCCGCGACCTTGTTCTTCGGCCACCACGCCTGACACACTCCGTAGCCATGCAGGCTAGCATCGCTCGACAACACCATGCGGTTCCACGGCCTCCACCAATCCTGGACCAACATGAACAAAATGCCCTTGAAGGCCCTGAGCTCTTCCATGATGGATGGCCAAAGCATGCCTACAGACTGCTTGTGTTTCTGAATGAAGGGGTACACACTGTGTAGTATACTCAAGGATGGCCGGCACATAAGTCCACAGAAAGTGAGATGGCCGACAAGTACCTCGAGAGCCCGACCCGCACATCGCCGTCGTCTCAGCAATCCTTCCACGGCCTGATGGACTTTCCAGAGCCGCTCAACAGTGATTCGACAGCGCAATTTGTTGCCCTCAATGATGCATCCCAACGCCTCAACACAACCGCTACTGACTTCACTTCCGTGTAACTCGAGCCCCAGGCCATCGAACTTCAATCGTAAAGCATCCATTGCCTCCACAATGCGGTCATGGTCCGTACCGATCACTCCCAGGTTATCTACATACACATAAAAGTGATCTGCATCATCTCGGGCCTGTCCCACATGTAAAACCAGAGGCTCGCTGCGATCGTGTAGTAGCCGGGCCTGAGCGAGCAACAAGGTCGATCTCGAGAGGTACTCATTTGCCTTCTGTGCAAAATACAAACTCCACGAGAATCCTTGACACAACGAACCAGCGCAAGGAAAGATTGCATCCAGGGGCCCCACGAACTTCCCATCCACATACGTGTTCTCCAATCCCACCGTCTTGGCCGGGACAGCCTCCCAAGCAAAGTACCGAGCCAGCCATAGAGGAACACGCAATCTATGAAAGCAGTCCTTAACATCATTCAACCCGATGAAAGCGGTCAGCTTTGAGATCATCTCGGGACTCGCGAAGATTTCTTCATCAAACTCAACCTCGAAGCGACCAAAGGACTCAGCGGTCATCAACGAAACCCCCGGAGCCGCCTTGAAGCAAAGATTGGCCAACCGAGCATCGGTGATCATCCTGAGGCGGGCGCGCGATGACTTCCACACAAAGAAGATTCCTACTTTGCACCTCGGCTGTGTGGTGTATTGGAAATACCCGATCTTATGAAGGCGCTGGACCAGATTGTTGTACATCTTCTTATTGTACCTCAAGGCGGGATCCCAGTAAGGTTCTATGCCCTCTTCTGCACCAGCAAATTCAGCAAGCATCAGCTCTGATTGCTCCTCCAGGTACCGACAGTCGTCATGCGGAAGCACATCAAAAAGTAGAGGGCACCCGCTAACATCATCAGGAATGGAGACGAGGTCGGCTTGGTAAGAGGCAAGAGTCTCGTTTGAAGGCTTCCAGTCATACGGAGTGCCTCCACGGAGAAGCGAACGAAGTGCTTCCTCCGGTTTTGCCACGACGCCACTGGGCTTCTGGTCTCGGACCAGACCTTCCACACGCATCATAGCCTGAGCTTGCATCGGACTGGGCGAGCCTCGTAGATCATCATGATGAGTCCCGGCCATCCAATTAAGGGCATCCACAACTTCATTACAGTTAGATGCCACCTTCCGAATTCGTGCCCGCCTCTGCTGAACTGTACGACTTACTCCCTCTAGCTTCGGCGGACATGCAAACCTTGGGAGGGGGAACAAATGCCGTTCCTTGGTGCTGGCCCTGGCAGATGCTCCCGGTTGGTCTGCTCCCCCCAAGTGCCCTTCAGCCATTGAGCACACGAGCGGTGAAGGGCGCCCACTCGCGCGGATCCACACTCAACCTGACTCCTGCCCCCTGCCGCGGCCCTTTCTCGGACCTTTCGGGGGCTTGTTAGGCGCTCCTTCCACCGGATCTCCTCCACCATCATCGGTAGATGCAAGCGGAGCTCCACGAAGTTCACGGACCTTCTGCCGCGCCTGGAGCAGCTCCAATTCCTCCTTGTTCTTCTTAACCGCGTATGTTCTGAAGACTGGGCTGACGATGTCCTCGGGCGAGCCTTGTCCTTGGAAAACCTTCGCATGCTCCCATGTAGGCCTGGCTGGGTTCGTGTACGCCTCCACTATGGACTGCACCCGCCGACACAGAAGTTCCATGGAGATCAGCGCCGGGATGTTCAGCTGATCGTGGCAACCAGCGTAGTGGATGGAGTCGGTGAGGACCTTCAACTCGTGGTACACACGGTCGGTCGTCTCTATGTGCTTACTACGGCGCCAGAGATGAAGCCACTGTCGCACATCCCCACCATGCCTCTCCGCGTGCTTGATGAAGTGGAGGGCGGTCAGCGGCCCATCAATCGGTTTGTCATCCATCACTGGGGCATACGACTCTTTACACACATCGCGCCAACGCTTGAACCTCTCTCCATGCTCGTCGAAGTCCACCCATAGAGTGCGGATCTCCTCCTGGCTGTTTTCCCCGGCCTTGTCCTTTGCCGGCTCCTCAGCCAAAAGATCGACTAGCTTCGCCGCTGGTGCTGATGATGCAGGATCCGCCCTATTGGCATGGCCAAACAAGCTCCGTCTCCGCTCAGCGAAGTCGGAACAATCCTCCAATCTTACCAATTCGGCTTTGACCCAATCATCCCCTCTCTTAAGCATGGCAATCCGATCACCAATTTGCACATCTGTGGATGGAGTGATGCTCACCTCTTGGCCGAGCTGCAAGCCACCGATCGGTTCCGCAGCGACCCACACGTAGCCCTCGGCAGCCGGCTGAATTGCTTTCGCAGCTGATGGGAGGACTGGCGCCACCACATCATCACCTCCAGCTCGAGCACCGGGACCCTTTCCGGTCAGCCGTCGCGGGACCAAGAGGCGCCCCAAGAAGGTCATCGTGGGGGCCACGCTTCCATCATTCAACTGGATGCCGCTTGGCCTCCAGGCTCCTGCCGCATGAACCTCATCTCCTAGGACGTCGAGTGCTTCACCAATCTTCTCCTTGAGGATGTCATCCGAAAGGTCATGACTAAATCTGTAGGCAGCGCCGCCTACCCTGCTCCAGTACGTGAAATGTTCCCCTTTCACTTTGAAGTAATCGCAACCGCCTGAGAAGTCCTCTAGGTACACATCATCGTCTGGTGTCAAGATAACCCACTTCATGGCACTACTCTTCCATAGCAGGACCCTCTCGTGGTACATCTGGTCATCACTGAAGTACGCAGCAACACGTTGCCCTGGGAGGCATCTGGACAAAGCCTCCGCCCTTTCTCCTTGGAGAAGTCGCCGCATGGCCAGTCTTTGCCCCAGAAGTAACTAGGAGGCAGGCCAACACCACCACAGCGGATGCCAAAAATACAATTATAGCGATCAGCAATTCAACCACTCCCGCTCTGTTTTCCCAGGAGCACTCGCAGCTGACCTCACACTGACAGGTGGTTCCTCGTGGCTCTGGCTTGTGTCCCACCTTTTCGCAGAGGCGCAGAAACCATAAAAGGGCAGCTACCTCTACCTTCATCCTTGAAAAGAGAAGATCTAGAGAGACAAACATTCAGTCTCGACACACTCAGACCGCAGGCACATTCCTGTGTTACACACTACCAAGATCAGGGGGGAGGCAGAAGAATGAACGTTGCACCCCGCCACGAACGCGAAGGCAGAAATTGTAGGATCGCACGTTTGGGCCCAAATCTCGCAGCTAAGTCGAGAACCCTGTTCCCCGTAAGGGAAACCGATAATAGTAGGAGAGCATGTCTAGCAATTGTGTGAGCTCCCTCGCTCCAACAGTTACCATGCTGGGCGGATCTCATGAGAGCGCAATCATCGTTGCAAGCCGCTACCGTATCCCCTACACTCCAAAACGCCACACCTTCTCTCCATTCCACGCGATTTGGGGAAGGAGCCTGGAGCCGCCCAAACCTGCAGAATGCATAGGATCAAGCCAGCCCTCTTTGCAAAGCTTGATTTAGAGTGCCCTGTTGCGGCTTTGGGTTTCAGGTTCCTTCAGTCTCCCCGTGCGGCAGTGGAAGTTAGTCTTATTAGTTCTGCCGTGAATCCACAGCTCGGTCTGAAGAGGTACAAGAGAAGCGGCCGTGCTTGGGGAGGCGCTCTTGGCCAAGAAGGGGATGGGGCCATGGCCGGAGGATGCCCAAGTCGCCTTTCCACACGACGCTTGCGTAGACACCTGATCAGGATTAGGATCGTGGTCATCTAGGCCGCAAGATCCTTATGATCCGGACCTCCTTCAGGGCTCGAAGGTCTGTGAACCGATATCTGGAAGCACTGCTCGCACTCATGCGGGTTGCTGCAGACACGTCCGGACTGTTCCTGCCACTTCTGGATCTGGGAGCTGACAGGAATTCTAGCCATGCCGACTTGAGCGAAACATTCAAGAAGTTGCACATGGTGGCAGACCCATAGCACTGCTTGGACCTGCGGGGCGCTAGAGGAGCTGGCCTATACTTTCAGCTTAACCAGACGAACACGCAACGAAAGGTCCGAATACGAAACTGGCACACGGAACGTCTTCAACGGCTTTGCATCCGGAGCTGCACTCCAGAACCTGGGCTCTGCGCTCGGGAGCCCTGCAAACTGTTCCTTGTCGGGGCGAGATGCGACCCTGCGACATGGATTCGAATATTGGGGCTATCCTCTCCTGGACCTTGAAGTGCGCGGGAGCTTGAATTGACGCGGTCTGGATCATCTGCTTCTGGCCAAACCTCTGCGTCTAACGCCCAATCCGGCAGAAATCACTTCATCAGAAATGCTCAATGTTGCTTCTTGGCTCAGAAGATCAAGGGTTCTTTAGGCGGAGATTTTCTGTTGGCCTCAAGAAATGATCGTCCCTGTGCCGAACTGCACTACATCAAGGTCCAGGTATAGCACCAGGGGAACCTCAGGCTGCGGGCAACAGCCCACAAACTAAATCCCGCCAATGGTGAAAAGCCCCTGATGCACCACGAAGTTCTCGCCTGGTGCCCGACAACCACTGGATGCAATGAAGGCTGGCCGCGCATGTCCGCATGATGGCTTTCCTGGCAGAACCGTCATCTCAGATGCCCGATGGGCATTCGAAAGGCGACGCCAGCCAGGCGCGCTTCGCTCATTTCGCTCATGACCCATCTCCGTCCCATTTTGCTGTCTCCACGTTATATTCACATGGCACGTCTAAGGCACAGCTGCCCATCCAGGCCATATGCCAGTCCCAACATTGAGCTTTTCGCTTTCTCCCTGTGGTTTGGCCAGGCTTGGGCGCTTCCGCAGGGCCCGGCAGATACAGATACAAACTCGCAGCAGATGCCTTAAATGCCGTAACTATTCCTTCCGTGAGCTACGGAAAGAGCTGATCTCGCTGCCAGCACTGCTGCACTGCTAGGGTCTGAAATTGTACCGCCATCCATTCCAGACCTTCCAATCATTGCTAACAAGAAGCCCCACGTCCCAGATCCAGGCAAGCTGAGAGGATGCACGAGGTAAGTTGCACCCTTTCCTGCGATGCTCGCCTGGGGATCTGCGCAAGTCTGCAGAGCATCCGGGGCCCAACTGGCGGCAACTGCGGTGCATACTCTGGACATAGCCGACTTACAAGGCCCTTCTAGTTGCCTTCTCCAATGCTCGGGAAACCTATTGTTCCAAAACTGCAGGTTTAGTGTAACTTAGCCGGCAAGTTGCCGCTGGTCTGCTGGGCTGGCTCGTCATTGAACGTCCGCCAGGCAGCTGCCGCCCGTGCCAAAAGCGCTACGAGAGCGACAAAGGCTGGCAAGAAGAGGCAAGCGAGAGCGATCAAGAGCAATCGAGGGTAAGTGAGAACGGGTAAAGCGTACGACGCCGAGTTGAAATTCCATGAAGTTCTCGCCTGGCCCCCGGCAACCACTGGATGCAATGAAGGCTGGCCGTGCATGTCCGCATGATGGCTTTCCTGGCAGAACCGTCATCTCAGATGCCAGACGGGCATTCGAAAGGCGACGCCAGCCAGGCCCGCTTCGCTCATTGCGCTCATGACCCATCTCCGTCCCATTTTGCTGTCCCTACGATAGATTCCCATGGCACGTCTAAGGCACAGCTGCCCATCCAGACCATATGCCAGTCCCAGCATTGAGCTTTTCGCCTTCTCTTTGTGGTTTGGCCAGGCTTGGGTGCTTCCGCGGGGCACGGCAGAGGCAGATACAGACGCGCAGCAGATGCCTCAAATGCCGTAACCTGCCGTAACCGTTCCCACCGTGAGCAGCGAACCGCAGAACCGTTCTACGCTCCACTCACAGGGCAACTAGGCTTGCTGCCAACAAATGGCTCGAAACGCCGTGGCAGCCTGACTTGTTCAGTCTTGCCTCTCGGAGGTCTTCTTGAACCTGCTAGCCGTTGCTACATGGCAACCAGAGGAAGGTTGCTGCAATGAGAACCTACTTCTTGTAGCTCGGACCAAGACTTGGAGGTGCCCAAGCCTTGTTCAAAGCATCGAATTGAAAGTCTCAGGGTGTCCGGATCGGACTGGCCTTGCATTGGGTACTCGAGCTTCTGGTGAAAAAAACTCTTAGGCATACCATGTTAATGCCATGATATGAGACGACTTATCCCCCAGCTGTCTGAACGCTTTCGGCTGTAGCTGGCCTGCTTCGCCCTCGAGCAGTCACAGGAGCATCGTGTTGTGCGCCTGTGGGCCGCAAGGGCCTCGAGAGGCACCAAACCGAAGCGTGCATTCCAGCATGCCGACAAGCAGCAGATGCGTTGCGTGGCCCGACCATACATTCTCTCGGCTGTCCAAGCCGCGCGAAGTGTGCCTGTCAGAAACAAGCCTGCAAGTAGCAGAATGCTTCTCACTCCTGCGACTGCGGCAGGGTCAAGTTTGTAAAGTGCAACAGATTCCGGCACATAGGAGATATGTGCGACGCGTTCCAGCTTCAAGCAAACTGCTTTGCTTCGGCAGGGTCGCGCCAGCCTGCTTCGCACTCTCCCTGCGTGGCATGCTGGGCATCGCGGAGCTCGCGTCAACATCTGAAACAGCCTTATTCCTCCAGGTCCAGCAGACTTGCCGCCAGATGGCTCGCGACGGCGCTTTCCGACTTGCAGTGCCTGGTCACGGAAGTCAGGAATGCGACGCATGTTCTAGGTCTCATGACCACTGGACCGAAAGCTACATCGGCTCTGTCAGAATGCTCCTGGCGACGGTCGCACTGGCGGTGAGTCTCACCTCTTGTGCCCATCAGCTTAGTCACTTCAGCTCTCATAGTTTCACGCCGCGTCAGCCGCCCATGCCTCTATGGAAGGTTTCGCAAGGCAGTGGCTAAGACAAACGATTTGCCTCGAGTCCCCATTGTCCAAAGTTGTCCAAAACCACCGCCACGAGCAGCCCGAGCCACAAGGCACACGAGAGGGCGCAAGCCCAAAGCAGCCCATCAAGGCTGAAGACCTAAGAGACCGAAGTCGCGTTTCGAGTGAACCTTGAAGAGGTCACCAGGCTGTTCTCACAGGCCGCGGTCAGGCGAGGCCGTGACGAGCAGCGGGCAGGCATCATGGAACATGCCTGATGCTTCCCATGCACGAGGCGGTAGGTACTTGGGACCTAGCTGTTACGCTGCACTGAGAAACGGAGCGACACCTACCCACACGAAGCATCAGCACCGGAAAGCAGCAACAGACATGGCACAGCAAAGCACGCTGGCTGTGCCTCCGAGGCATGATGTGCCGCGAGCAATCAGAAGACGAAACTTGGGAGAGTTGCTTTGCACTTGTTCTCAGCCCCTACGGTAATCATCTAAGCCTAGGCAGCTGTAACCAAAGATGATTGTGGGAGCCGCCGGGCGGGTCGCACGGCCTGCGCTGCTTGCCGCGTTGGGCTCGAGAGACAGGGACAACATCCACAAACGAGGGTTGGATCTTTACTTTGCGAGGGTGACATTACTACGCCTTACGATGAAAACACGGTGCAGTTGTGATAGAATCCGGCATCACAGACATACTGCCACTACGCCTTAAAACGGAGGGTTTACAGAGGGTTCAGAGACACCTCGGACCACAGCCACACCACAGCTGTCGTGGCAACTTGCCGCGTCAGAACCTTAGCGCGAATAATGACAAGAGTTGAGACTCCACTACAATCTGCGCACGAGAGCCAAAGGACGGACACGCAACTTCCATCATCACTGGTCTTTGTGAGGGCCTTATTTCGCAAGTCTGCAAACCCAGTGTTCTCAGGAGAGTTGAAAAACTGAAGGCACTGAAGGAATCCGTCTTGGGCCTT